GGAGGAAGATAGCTTCTTGACAGGAAAAAATCAATGTAAGATCCTAGTTCGCTGTTTATTCTTCGGGGAGGGGGGTGGGTATATACATACACAATGAGTGAGACGTGCACCATCTGGGGGATGGTCACGCTTGAAGCTCTGACTTGTGGGGGGAAGGGAGGCAAGGGCATTATTTGAAACCTTAAAAATTGTACCCCCATAATATGCTGAAATAAAAAAAATAAACAATAAAAAAAAACCAATGAGAACAAAACAGTAAAACCTAGAAATTATAATCTAAAAACTCTAGGACATCCAGAGAGTAAGAACATTAGGCACATTAGACATTCAACTCCAGATTTTCTGTACTGTGCAAAATGGGAAATGAACAATTTCATATATTTAGGATCCATTTTTAAATATATTTTTTATTTCCACTTACTATATATAAATTCTGTCTCATGAGCATAATGGTACAGGTTTTGCTATATTCAGGCTATGCAGGAAAGGGGACAGGAAAAAAAAAAAAAAGAGAATCATTTCCAAACAAGATAATTTAAAAAATTTTTTTTAAATGAGTAAGAAAAGCAAAAGACTAAAAATTAATACCATTAATGCTTTAAGATAATATGTGACTTTGGTTGGAGAGATTGAAAGAGATTATAGTTAAGACCTCAGATTATTTCACCAATCATAATATCCTGAAGACACAATCATATATAAATATGTTAGGAAGTGGCAATCCCCCCCCCCCCCCCCCCAAAAAAAGAGAGAGAGGACTGACTCTAAGTCAATTTTTAACAAGCCCCTAACAGTGTAAGGTACCATAAAAAAATATCTTCTTAGAAATAAGAATAAGATGTGGGATGAACAAGTCTAAAGCTCTAAAGTACAACAGTTAATATGGTGTTTCCCCGAAAATAAGACAGGATCTTACATTGATTTTTCCTCAAGAAGACACCCTAGGGCTCATTTTCAGGGGATGTGCTATTGTTTTTTAACTACGGTACAACCATCTCCATTAATTCAAATACAGTGAAGTCGTCTTCTTCTGGAACATCATCCATCCATCTCCAAACCCCGAATCCCACCCTGAGTGTCTTGCGACTCTGTTTCCTTTAGAACCACTGGCCCCGATCTCTCCTGTGGAGCACTAGAGCTCTCACGGGGCAGATGAGAAGGGCTGCTCGTGTTCTTTCCCGCTCCGCGACGACACGCATGGGTTGTGCAGATGCGCTGCGCAGCCACGCCCGTCACTAGGGCTGATTTTCGGGGTAGGGCTGCTATTGTGCACATGCTCAGAAATCCTGCTAGGGCTTATTTTATGGGTTGGTCTTATTTTCGGGGAAACAGGGTAATAGCGGATGGTATTCAGTATTTTCGCTAAACGAGTGGGTCATGGCTCCTCTCGCCATGGAGGGGGGGAGAATGGGCAACTATGGGCGATAATGTTGCTTCATTTCACCGTAGTCACTGCTTTGCTATATATATACACTGACGCATACCATCACACTGTATACCTTAAAGACACACAATAAAATTGCTTTTATAAAAGGAAAAGAAAATGTGGCTGCAGTCAGCCACTGGCTAGGATCTGCCCCGTGCTGTGGGAAGCATGACCTCCAGCCATGACCCCATGACTGAGCCAAAGGTTGTCCCTCCAAAAAGGGTGCAGGACTGAGCCACTATAACAAATGATGTTCAAATATAAGGGGCAATATCTAGATATGCATCTACATAGCTGTATCTATATATACAGGTATGATATCATACTTGCATGATATCTAGATATCCCTATATGATATGATCTATATAGATCTAGATCATATACATCATACATATATATATGTAGATAGATATCTAGATATCTCTATATGATATGATCTATATAGATCTAGATCATATACATCATACATATATAATAGTAGATAGATATCTAGATATCTCTATATGATATGATCTATTTCAGGAGTCCTCAAACTTTTTAAATGGGGGGTGGGGGGCAGCTCACTGTCCCTCAGACCGTTGGAGAGTGCGCACTGTGGGCCTGGGATGAGTCGGCTGCTAAGCAGGACAGGTAGTGGCGGCAAAAACACCCGGCGGGCCGGATAAATGTCCTAGGCAGGCGGCATGTGGCCCTCTGGGCCGCAGTTTGAGGATGCCTGACCTAAATGATCTATATGGATCTAGATCATATACATCATACCTATATATATATATATATGTATATATATATGTAGATGGATACCTAGCTATCTCCCCCTATACATAATTATTATAATATATAAAATAATTATAATTATATAATATATAAAATATTACAATCATATAACCTATAAAAATATCTGCCATTCTTAATTAAGGAACAAATATTTCTTGCTATTCATAATGCATAATTATAATGTATCCAATAGCATAATAGCATCATTATAATGTATCCAATAGCATAATTATAATGTATCCAATAGCATAATTATAATGTATCCATCACTTGCTGGCTGAGTAGTCTCGGTTTATCTGTAAAAGGAGGATATTTATAGCTGTGACAGAAATGACAAATGATATGCTTGGCACAATGGCTGGGTGTAAGCACTGGACTATTCACTTATATACATTATCGATTATCAGTTGCAGATTCACAAAAGCTGTATATATTACATTATTTTATATCTTACAATGCACACATTTACTAACTCTCAGTGCACACGTATGTGCGTGTAATGTGTGTGCACGTGTTTGCACGGGCACGTTTCATATCCTCAGTTGACGCAGAAGTAACGAAATACATTTGGGCAAAGAGATCGCCAGATCGGCCAAACCTTGACCTGACATTGTGGAACGAGCGTGCAGATTTATTTGTGCAGAGCAACACCGAACCCCAAAGACTCTTCAGCAACATTTTAACCTGCACTAAGATTTGTCAGCTCATGGACAAGAAGGGGAGACCAAACGGGAAGGGCTGCGTCAGGATATTTTGATTTTTTTGTTCCACCGGTCCCTCGAGCAAAGACCGGAACTTTCTGGAAACCAAACTTTCTGCAGGATCAAAGGAGCCATCCAACATACCTTTTCGATTAACTCGTAACTCTCTTCCAGCTTGAGCAGCCTGTTCTGCACGGACGTAGACGCCCGGTGGTACACGCCGCGCCACTCCTGAAAATCGCTCTCCGAAATCTCGGCCACGGCGAAGCACAACGTCCTCAGCCCTGGAAAAAGGCAGGGTACATTCCTCAACACAACCAAAGACCTTCCTCAGAGGTCTACAGTCTGCGTCCTTATCTAACAAACTCGTTTTGAAAGGACCCACTCCATTCTATGCCAAAAGTCTGATTGAGCTACGACAAAAGTCTTAGCAGAAAGTGTAGATTTTACTCTTCCCCCGGTCTTTGAAACTTGCACCCTGCTTATAACTCGCAGCCCTTCTGATCCATCTGCAATGCCTACAGAACGTTTCCTGAAATCCTAATCACATTAGGCTATTCCTTTGCTTGAAATCTCCTACCGTGTGTCCCCGAAAATAAGACCCACCCATAAAATAAGCCCCAGCAGGATTTCTAAGCATGTGTGCCATAGAAGCCCTACCCCGAAAATAAGACCCACCCATAAAATAAGCCCCAGCAAGATTTCTAAGCATGTGTGCCATAGAAGCCCTACCCCGAAAATAAGCCCCAGTGACGGGCGTGGCTATGAAAATCAGCCCTAGTGATGGGCGTGGCTATGAAAATCAGCCCTAGTGGTGGGCGTGGCTATGAAAATCAGCCCTAGTGATGGGCGTGGCTGTGCAGGCATCTGCACAACCCATGCGTGTCGTCGAGGAGCGGGAAAGAACACGAGCAGCCCTTCTCATCCGCCCCGTGAGAGCTCTAGTGCTCCATAGGAGAGATCGGGGCCAGTGGTTCTAAAGGAAACAGAGTCGCAAGACATTCAGGATGGGATTCGGGGTTTGGAGAGTGAGGATGATGTTCCAGAAGAAGACTTAACTATGTTTGAATAAATGTGGATTCTTGTACTGCCCCATCCCACGGCACTGGGGGTCTGGAGGCCACACGATAAACACGTTGTTCCTGTGATTGCTGGTACACCCATAAGATGGCTGTTAGTCAATGACGGGTAAGACCCCTCAAGGGAGGGGCGACCTAAGCCAGGCACAGCCATCGGAGTTCAGCCGAAGATCTCAGGGGGCCACCCTAAGAGAAGCTGGGGATGAGAAATGCCCCCTGTGGCTCACCTTGCCCATCCTGCTAATCTCGGTCCTTTATCTACGCCTATGCCGTAGACGACCACTTGAAATTCTGAGTCAGGATATCTGCTTCCTAAGGCTACGCTGTTCCGGAATTTATGGCTATCGCGCCACGCCTGGGTGGTTTGCGTACAAGGAACTAACTTTAATCTTTTAGTATAAAAAATAAAACCGACCGTGTGTTAGTACTCGAGTCAACCGTTTGTACGTGTGTCTGCGTTTTTCTTTGTGTTCTGCGTTTGTGTTTTGTGTTCATCCTCCATCCTGTAAACGGGCCAGGACAAACTACTTTACTAGTTAAGTACGTTTTTAATCAAAAGTCCGAGTTGAATTACATTTTGCATCAGCTGCGTCTGACAGCTTTTAGATTTATTTCTCCTCTTTTTATTCAGATGGCAAACTCAGAGTTCTCCGACCCTTCCTCTTTTTCCTGACGGAAAACTGCTCGCGATACAAGGCAACATGCCTGAGCCGTACATCGCATCCGTTCCAAAAGCAGAACAGATTTATAGGCCCTGGCACTGTCCAGCAAGGAACAAGGTTTTTAAAACCCGTCTGAGAAAAGGAAATAAAACCTAAGTGGGAAGAACCAGTATGATTTATTATCAACGCTAATTGGTATCTTGCTTCCAGAGATCTCTAAGCAAAACGGTATTAGTAATCCTCGCGAGGAGTCGGAAGTTCATTTCTTCTTGTTTCGATCATGCTTTGTTGTCCTGTTGCACTCACCTTCTGTAGCAAATGCCAAATGTTTGAGGGTAGTTTCCTTGTACTTCGAAAGTCTCTGCCAGCCGATCGTAAAATGACAGTGTCCTGGAGGAACAAACAGAAGGTGTAAGGAAACCCACTTACTTAAGAATTCTCAGTGTAACAGAGTTGACGGTGGCAGCATCAGCAGCAAAACGCTCGTGACAGCCGATCAATCGCGTTCAGCATTAGTTTTAGAGCGCCAAATATTTTCATCTCATAAATACTATTTCGCTGGTGAAACCTTAAGAAATAAGGCCCGCGTCCTGCATGTTCGACCCTCCTCTTTCCGAGTGACTCCCTAGTTATGCCAATGCTCAGCATCTCACTGTCCATTAATACCTGCACCTGCCTTTCCACACATACTGTGAGATCTTCCCTCCATTCCGGAAGGCTCTGTTTTTGCTTTTTTTGAGACAGAGTCTTGCTTTGTCGCCCAGGCTAGAGTGAGTGCCGTGGCGTCAGCCTCGCTCACAGCAACCTCAGACTCCTGGGCTCGAGCGATCCTCTTTCCTCAGCCTCCCGAGTAGCTGGGACTACAGGCACGTGCCACCACGCCCGGCTGATTTTTTTCTGTATGTATTAGTTGGCCGATTCATTTCGTTCTATTTTCAGTAGAGACGGGGTCTTGCTCTTGGTCAGGCTGGTTTCGAACTCCTGACCTCGAGCGAGCCGCCCACCTTGGCCTCCCAGAGTGCTGGGATTACAGGCGTGAGCCACCGCGCCCGGCCCATTCCAGAAGGTTCTGCAGGAAACTGTAGGTGCTGCAAGAAGAATGGCCCAGCATGGGCCAGACAGAGCAAAGCAGAAGAGCTCGTCCTGCTCCGGGACTCCTCCTCAAAACTCTTTTAAAATGCCGGTATACACAGTGCATCTTGAAGCGGGTTATTCGGTATGTTATCCAAACTCATCAGACCACCGAACCTTAAAGGGTGACTGGTGCTCACCACAAAGCAAACTTTAAGGGACACAAAACTACATCCACTCAGAGGACCAGTGGGTACAGGGGGGGAAGAACCCTGGACAAACCTCGAATTGCCGTAAGTAGCTGAATATTTCTGACTGAGTCGCGTTAGCCCTAAGATCCCGTTGACTTAATTTGTAAAATTCAATCACTGGATGATCTTTCAGGTTCTTTTCAGCTTTAAAACTTCATGCACCGCTTACCTGTCCCTGCTCTTTGCTCTTTCCTAAAATTGCCTATTATTCCTGTAGTTATTACCTGGCTTTGGGGTTTAATGCTTTCTGAATTTTTAGTATTCAGCCTTCATGGGTTTATGAGACCAGGAGAAAATAAATCATTTACCTGCAATTACTTTCTCAGTGGTAGGACCCAATTTGTGGGGTCTCTAGTCTCAGGGCTGAGATGTGGAGGCAGACTAATGGAGCATGATTTAGAACCCTGGAGAGAAACAGAACTTAGTGACCTCAGAACGGATGGAATATTCCGGGCCCCCAATTATGAATTTCTTTTCATTTTCCAGTCGCTGAAGGGGAAGGGGGAGCAAAGCAAAAGGAAATGATGATTTCCTCTCATGGCTCCTTCCTGAGAATGAAAAGTAGGATTTACAAACTCTATTTTTTTTTTTCCAGAGGCTAATAAAATTGTCAATGAAAACAATACAGGCCACTTTAAAACTAAGAAAAAAATTTTTTTTTAAATTTAAAATAATGAAAATAAAAGTGGTAGGTAATAAGGTAGAAAGATTAAATTCTGCAGTGTATCCAAACATTCTAGTGGAAGAGATTGATGCTTTGAGAAATTAATTTTCTATGTTCTTTTTTTCTTTTTTTTTTTTTTTTGAGACAGAGTCTTACTCTGTTGCCCAGGCTAGAGTGAGTGCCGTGGCGTCAGCCTCACTCACAGCAACCTCCAACTCCTGGGCTCAAGTGATCCTCCTGCCTCAGCCTCCCCAGTAGCTGGGACTACAGGCATGCGCCACCACGCCTGGCTAATTTTTTCTATGTATACTTTTAGTTGGCCAATTAATTTCTTTTCTATTTTTAGCAGAGACGGGGGCTCGGTCTTGCTCAGGCTGGTTTCGAACTCCTGACCTTGAGTGATCCTCCCGCCTCGGCCTCCCAGAGTGCTAGGATGACAGGCGTGAGCCACCGCGCCCGGCCCTAATTCCTTTTTGGTTAAAAAAATAGTTGGAATTTATTTTGCATGCTGAGCTGTAAACATCCCTGCCAGATTAGTCCACACGAAGGAGGGATTTAACCTGGAGTGAGTCTGCATCCCGGTTGGTCCCTGTCACTGTGAAAGGTGTCAGATTCCAAACAGAGCAAACCCTGGCAAAACGGAGGCAGGAGAGGACCATAAGAGAGAGGTTCTCAGGCATGATTTGCCTTAAGACAGGAACTGTGACGTGAAATTCTTCCAAACCGCAGCCTACTACCACGAGCCACAGGAGGACAGCCGGCAGCTCATACAAAACAGCTGACGCTGTCTCCCAAACCCAGTGCAACCAGGCAGCCTGCTATATGACGTCCAGATCACAAGTTTTACCTACAACCGCTGCCACCGCCCAATCAGAGCTGGCCAACCCCACGCCACTGGCCAAAGTTCTGGTTCTTTTCTTTCTTTTCTCTTTTCTTCTCTTTTTTTCTTTTCTTCTCTCTCTCTCCTCTGTCTCTTCTCCTTCTCTCTCTCTCTCTATTTCTCTCATCTCTCTCTTCGTCCTTCTCTCTCTCTCTTTCTCTCTTCTTCTTCTCTCTCTCTCTCTTCTCTTCTTTCTCTCTCTTCTTTCTCGCTTTCTCGTCTTCTTCTCTCTTCTCTCTTTTTCTTTCTTTTTCGACATTATATGGGGGTACAATGTTAAGGTTACGTATATTGTCCATGCCCCTTCCTCCCTCAAGTCAGAGCTTCAAGCTGTCCATCCCCAAACGTTGCACATCTTACTCGTTTGTGGTTGTATGCACCCATCCCCTCCTCCCCCCTCCCACCCTCTGACACCCGATAGATGTTATTCTATGTGTCCACATAGGTAGCTGATCTGTTAATAACCAATTGCTGGGGAGTACATGTGGGCTTGTTTTTCCATTCTTGAGATACTTCACTTAGCAGAATGGGCTCCAGCTCTATCCAGGAATATACAAGAGGTGCTAGATCACCGTTGTTTCTTATAGCTGAATAATTACTCCATGGTATACATAGACCACATTTTATTAATCCACTCGTGTATTGATGGGCACTCGGGTTGTTTCCACACCTTTGCAATTGTGAATTGGGCATCAATTAACTTTCAATGAACTTTCTTTCAAAACAACTTCAGGCCACCCTAGTCTGTGCATATGCCCCCAAATGCAATTGTATCATTTGTATATTCCCAAATAAAGCTGCGTGCTTAGAGATGAATCTATTTTTATTTGATACAGACACTGATCATGTCCCTTGGCATGAAATTTCCTCATGTGCCTATGAGAGCTGCTGTTGCTCTCTCACTCTCTGCATGCATCCCAACCTCCAGGTTAGCATGAGCTTTCCTCAGCCTCTCCTCATGATCTTGGTGAAGCTTACCACCGTCTTAGGCTTCAAAGTGAGCAGGCTAGCTCCCACCTGCTTTTTACATAAAGCATTATTCGCCTCATTTCCCCACGGAAGCCAAACTCCAGCCACTGCTCTTTGATTCTGAATCCACAGCCTGTGATGCTTAACTCAAGGATTTTTATTCATTTATTTATTTTGAGACAGAGTCTCGCTTTGTAGGCCAGGCTAGAGTGAGTGCCGTGGCGTCAGCCTAGCTCACAGCAACGTCAAACTCCGGGGCTCAAGCGATCCTTCTACTGCTCCTCACTCACGTGCAACTGATGACTGCCGAGTTTCCCTGAAAATAGGACATACCCATCAAATAAGCCCCAGCAGGATCTCTGAGCATGTGCGCCATAGAAGCCCCACCCCGAAAATCAGCCCTAGTGGTGGGCGTGGCTATGAAAATCAGCCCTAGTGACGGGCGTGGCTGCACAGCGCATCTGCACAACCCATGGGTGTCGTCGCGGAGCGGGAAAGAACACGAGCAGCCCTTCTCATCTGCCCCATGAGAGCTCTAGTGCTCCACAGGAGAGATTGGGGCCGGTGGTTCTAAAGGAAATAGAGTTGCAAGAAATTCAGGATGGAATTCGGGGTTTGGAGAGTGAGGATGATGTTCCAGAAGGAGATGACTTCACTCTATTTGAATCAATGGAGATGGTTGTACCGTATTTAAAAATAAAAAAAATAACACATCCCCTGAAAATAAGCCCCAGGAAAAATAAATATAAGACCCTGTCTTATTTTGGGGGAAACATGGTAAGTCCTAATCTCTCTCCTCCCAGTCTTTTCTGCAGTTGTCTTGGTTCAGATCCTTCTCGACTCTTGGCTGTACTGTTGTCAGCGGCCCCAGTTGGTAGCTCTGTCTGCATCTCTTTTCAGCCTTAAATCATCTTTCCAAATGGCATCGGAATGATCAGGAAGAAAGCACAAGTTCTTGAGCATGATACAAACACACACACGATCTAACTCACACCCACTTTTCCAGCCACATGTTCAGGTCTTCCCTGACAAGCTACAAGTGGTTTTCAAATGCTCCTTGCTGTTTTGCATGCTGATGTCTTTTCATTACCTAAGCACTTTTCACAGCCAATCTGAGAATGAGGGGAAACAAGTCGGCAAGTTCATATATGCAAACTTGTCATAAAAACAGAAACCTAGGTCAAAGGACCAGAGCAGAGAGCCCAGAAATAAATCTAAACATATACGGTCAACTGATTTTTAACAAGGGCACCAAGAGAACACAGTCGGGAAAAGATAGTCTTTTCAATAAACGGTGCTGGGGAAATGGGATTTCTATATGCAAAGAATAAAACTGACCCCCCCCCTTTTTTTTACACTATACATAAACAAATTCAAACTGGAACAAAGACCTAATGTCAAACTTGAGACCGTAAAACTCTGATAAGAGAACACAGTGGGAAAAGCTCCTTGATGTTGGCCTTGGCAATAATTTTCTGGATATCAGACCAAAAGCTCAGGCTATCATAGCAAAAATAAATAAATGAGACCACATCAAACGGAACAGCTTACGCACAGCAAAGGAAACAATCAACAAAATGGAAAGGCAACCTACAGACTAGGAAAAATATCTGCAAACCATATATCTGATGAGTTCATAAAGAACTCTTGCAACTCAATAGCAGAAAAGCAGATAATCCAATTAAAAAATCGGCACAAAGGACCTGGACAGACATTTCTCCAAAGACGACATAAAAATAGCCAATAGGTATATGAATAGGTTCTCAACATCACCAGTTATAAGGGAAATGCAAATTAAAACCACTGTGAGGTATCACATTCATACGGATGATTATTAAAAAGATATAGATGTTGGTGAGTGTGCAGGGACAAAGGGACCTTTGTGCACCGTTGGTGGGAATTTAGACTGATACAGCCATTATGGAAAACAGGATGGGGGTTCCTAAAGTAATTAAAAATAGAACTGCCACATGACCTAGTAATCTCTCTTCTGAAGATATGCCCAAAGGAGATGAAATCACCACCTTGTGAAGGTATTTGCACTCCTACGTTTATTGTAGCATTATTCACATAGTAAAGATATGGGAAAACCCCAAATGTCCATGGACAGATGAATGGATAAAGAAAACGTGGTTCCTATACACAATGGAATATTTACTCAGCCTTGAAAAAGAAAGACATCCTGCCATTTGACATGACACAGATGGACTTAGAGGACATTATGCCACATGAAATAAGCCAGACACAGAAAGAAAAATATTGCATGATCTAATTTATATGTGGAATATATAATATTTTTAAAAAGAGCTCCAGTACATAGAGATAGAGAATAACCCAGTGGTTAGTTACCATGGGCAGGTGGAGGTGGAGAGGAAATGGGGAAATATAGGCCAAAGGATACAAAATAGCACACATGGAGGATCAATAAGTTTAGAGATCTAATCTACAACATGACAAGTAGAGTTAATAAAATTATATTAAGAAAAATTTTTTCCAGAACAAAAAATGTATGCAAACTATGTCTATGATTATTACTAAAGCAAATGGCAATGTTTTTATTTTTTATTCAGTGTTTTAACTTCCCAAAGTTTCTAGGTAAAAGACTATTCAAAACTAAAAAAGTAAGAATGTGATTTGAGGGTTGTAAACTAGACATATAGCAACCATTTAAAGTGGGTGGTCTTAATGACTCTATTGCCTTATCACTGAATGGTACCTTGGGGATGTAGAAGAATTTTACAATATACTTAAAATTGTATCCTAATCTTCTCTTTATTTTAAATATTCCCCTGACTAGTCTTATGCTTCTGACAAATCTTAGGTCTTTCCTCCAGTTCAAACTCTGATGATAAAATATATAGAATGAATCAATGTTGGGTGTTTGAATCAATGAGAATACAAAACCAAAGGAATCCTAAAACTAAATTCATGAGACATCACGAAATAATTCTACCAAAATGCTTTAAAGCCAGGGCATTTAACATTCTCAAGAGGAATTTAAACAACAGTCTTGGGCTTCTTAAGTTCAGTTACCAAGTTTCCAAGTGATAAAGCAAGGTTGTTGATTCTATTTAAAACTAGAAAGTTCCGAGTTGGTAAGTTTATAAACCAGGTACCTGGAAGTAGCAATTCAGAAGGAAAATAATGATTGATCTTAATTTTAAAAAGGCTCCAGTCAGCACATTTTTCATTTTTCCACGAGCGTAAATATCATTTTAACCAGGAAAATTCAGTTAGAATGATGTATTACCATTTCTGTCGATATAACTTGCCAATATACCAAAGCCAACCAATAGAAATGCTATGACAATTTAAGAAATGCAAGACAAACAGCAATCACATGAGGAAATTACAGCAGAAAGTGTAATCCAATCCCCCCACCCCATTCCTATGATCATTAGAAAATTAGATTGAAACTGGAGTGGATCAGTGTATTCTAATAAAATTTTAAAATATTTGGTTATATTTAACTGTCTTCTAACATAGCGTATACAATACAAACTCCAAATACTATGTGTAAAAAATCGAATTATAAAAAACAACCTAGGCCACACTTTTTCAAAGCACCCGATTTACCCAGAAGGAAATTCCACATTTCACCAGAAGAGGCCGAACACTCTTACAATAAAACACCGGCAAAAAGTGGATGTCAGCAACTCCGTGTTAAACATCTGTGTTGCGTTCCCACAGCAGAACGCCCAACGTGTACATTATAAACCATCATAAATCAGAACTGTGAAAGACGGAAATAAAAACTTACAGCTCCTTTGCAGTAGAGCCGTAACTTCCCGGACGGAGTGCGGACAATCACTGACATTCTTTTTCTAGCGCTGAAAGAAAAGAGGTTTTCCGTGATATGTCATCATACCAAGCATACATGCATATAGATGCTTGTCATGCCTTCTCATGGTTTCATAGTCACAGTGAAAAAAATAAATCTGACCAAATTATGAGTCCTGACCTTCCACACACACAAACCATCCCCTGGGAGTGCAGCTGGGTACATTTGAAAAAATACATCACGTTTTTTTAAAGCACCAGAGTATCATATACTGCCCCAGTGGGATAATTTACAAAATAGCTCCTTAGAAACCTGCAAGAGCTCAAACCCACCAGAGTAGAGTAGTCCTGGTTCAACATTTTCAGATTTGAAAAACTTACTTAAGCCAGTATCTTAAAAGATGGATTGATTGTATGTTATGGGTTTTTTTTTTAAATTAAAAACAGAAATGATAATCAATAATAAAAAAATCAATTTTTATTGAAAACGAATGATAATATCAATGACACCAACCACACCTAAAGGCAAGCACCAGTGCTTTAAAAAGTAGTTTAAGCACTTAAACAACTACCGTTTTTCAATGATGACTAGCAAAACCACTGGCAGCATGCAGAAAACCTAATTAACGCCAGCAAAGTTAATAAGCTAATGAGCACAGACATTTTAACGCCGTGTTGGTGACGTGAGCCTAATCAAAACTGTTAGTCAAATGTGTACTATCTTTCGATGCGTTAGTAAGAAGAGAAAGCAAGTAACACTGAACAGAAGAAATGGGCACAGCATTATAGAGGTTAGAACTCATTTTGACCCATGCGTTTACAAGCAATCTCTATAGAACTGTGGGGAAAAGGGACTTCTCAAATGTCTGGACCTATTTGTTTTTCCTTATAATATTCTGCTGTCTCTAAAGCACAACACGAGGACAACAGTTAATACTGTGCTTCCCTGAAAATAAGGCAGGGTCTTATATTTATTTTTCCTCAAGAAGACACCCCAGGGCTTATCTTCAGGGCATGTGTTATTTTTTTTAAGTACGGTACAATCGTCTACATTGATTCAAATAGAGTGGAGTCGTCTTCTTCTGGAACATCATCCTCACTCTCCAAACCCCAAATCCCATCCTGAATGTCTTGTGACTCTACTTCCTTTAGGACCACCGGCCCCGATCTCTCCTGTGGAGCACTAGAGCTCTCACGGGGCGGATGAGAAGGGCTGCTCGTGTTCTTTCCCGCTCCGCGATGACATGCATGGGTTGTGCAGATGCGCTGTGCAGCCACGCCCATCACTAGGGCTGATTTTCGGGGTAGGGCCTCTATGGTGCACATGCTCAGAAATCCTGCTGGGGCTAATTGTATGGGGAGGTCTGATTTTCAGGGAAACACAGTATCTTACCCATACAAATCACAGAGCAGATGTTTTATTACCTGGTGAACTCCAGGACGTTGAGCAATTCGTATCTTTCTTCCTGTCCAAGCTAGGAAGAAAAGGAATACACGATTACATACAGTTGGAAATATCTTCAGCTTTTTGGAGATAAACCCTTGTCATGAAGTTTCATTGTAAAAAAGGACTAGCACAAACCTTCCCTTCTGAAATAAAGAAGGGGACTTCTTAACTTTAAGGTTGACTGAGACATAGGAAATACAAAGTCCCAAACAGGAGAAAACCAAAAGGAATTCCAAGTGCTTCGGAAGCAAGTCTTAGAATTAAAGCAGCCCAGACAAGAGAATGGAGGACCTCAAAAGGAATGGCCTAAAGAAAGAATTGCCCACAAACAGATTGTTTGGTGTGACTGTACTGAGAAAAATATACTAGAAGTTTATGGGGGACAGTAACACAGGTAACTTAAACAAAAATACAAGATTTCTCTTTAGAAAATAAAAAAATTATCTTTAGGGAAATAATTTAGTGCCAGGAAAACATGAAATTAAAAAAAGAAAATAATTAGTGAATGCAACAATGTTCAGCTATGAATACTGGTATGGGTATCATAGAAGCACTAAATAATGATTTTTTAAGTGAGATATAATTTATATGCAGCAAAACACATGCCACCCCAGTCAAGATATGGGACATTCCCACCATCCCATAAATTCCCTTGCACCTCTTTCTTTCTTTCTTTCTTTCTTTCTTTCTTTCTTTCTTTCTTTCTTTCTTTCTTTCTTTCTTTCTTTCTTTCTTTTTCCTTCCTTCCTTCCTTCCTTCCCTCCTTCCTTCCTTCCTTTCCTTTTTCTTTCTTTCTTTCTTTCTTTCTTTCTTTCTTTCTTTCTTTCTTTCTTTCTTTTTCTTCCTTTCCTTTCTTTCCTTTCTTTCTCTCTTCTTTCTTCCTTTCTTTCCTTCCTTTCTTTCCTTTCTCTCTCTTTCTCTCTCTCTCTCTTTTGGCAATTAAGCACATAAGATGCTCAACTTTATTAGTCATTAGGGGAATGCACATTTAAATAGCAAAATGTCACAGTGTAAGTGTCAGATGGCTAAGATAAAAACCAGTCACAACACAAAATAGTGTCGAGGCTGCAGAGAAACATTTCTGGTGGGGATGTAAACCAGCACGACCACTCTGAAAAGCACTTTGGTAATTTCTTACAAAAACTAAACATGCAGAAGTGCCCTTTTCTCATCAATCTCCTCCCCACCCGAAGGCAACCACTGTTCTGAATCCTGTCACCATAAATCACTTCTGCCTGGTCTCGAGCTGCATCTAAATTAAAAGGAGGAGGATGCACTCATTTGTGTGTGTGTGTTTTTTTTTTCCTTTATTGTTTTTTGTTTTGCTCAACATAATGTGGTTGAGATTCATCCATGCTGCTGACAAATCAATAACTCATTCCTTTTTACAGTTTATTATATTCCATCGTAAGAATGTATCAGTTTGTTTCTATTCTCCTATAATGGGGATTTAGTTTGTTTCTAGTTTTTAGCTACTATGAATACAGCCGGCTATGGATATTCTGTTACAAGTCTTTTTGTAGACACAAACTTTTCATTTCTTTCTGGGTAACAACGTGCAATCGCTGGGTCGGGTTCAAGTTTACCTTTACTAGAACATTCTGTAAGGTTTTCCAATGGGATTGCACCACTTTTAACACATAAGCTAGCAACGTATGACTGTCTCACTTGCTCTACAGTCTCACCAACACTTGTTAATGTCACTATTTTTAATTTTAGCCTTCTTGGTGGGTGTGTAGTGGTGTCCATTGTGGTCTTACCTGCATTTCCCTGCTGACTAACAATGCTTTTTTATGTGCTGCTCATTGGCTATTCATATTATCTTCTTTTGTGAAATGTCTGTTCAATTCTTTTACTCATGTAAAAAGTGGAGCCTGAACACCTAACCGAAAATTGTTGTAATAATTTTGGGAGTGTTGAGGAAGGGCAAACAAAGGGATAGTGATTTGAGAGACATAAATCCTCATTTAACAGAACAGTCAGTAAATAAGACTAAAACTGAAAGAACCACAACACGCATCCTTCACCACATATTTTCTGAAAAAATGTAAATGCTTGAAACAGCTTAAAACAGTAAGTGCTTGAAACAGCTACAAGCACAGGAAGTGGCTGCTTCTGGAGTGGAGAAATCTCTATTTTACGACTGGCTTTTTTGGTATTGCTTAACCCTGGAAGCTATGCACATGTGTTTCTCCGATGAAAGGGCGTTTTAAACAAACACAACTTACTGAATCTATGATCACTGAGTCCGGTGTTCTCCCCGTGAAAACAAAATTCAGTTGCTTGGCCGCTCTGACCAGCGCTCCCTCATCTGTTCTCGGAAAAGAGGTCAAAGCAAACAGGTGACGGAAAACAGTTTATCCCAAAATGCAAGAGAAATACATGGGTGTAACAAGGTGATATCGCTTTCTGTTTAAAGTTCTCTCTTTTCTAGCCGACTACTGAAATCCATTATTTAAAAAATTGTGGGCCGGGCGCGGTGGCTCACGCCTGTAATCCTAGCACTCTGGGAGGCCGAGGCGGGCAGATTGCTCAAAGTTGGGAGTTCAAAACCAGCCTGAGCAACAGTGAGACCCCATCTCTACTATAAATAGAAAGAAATTAATTGGCCAACTAATATATATAGAAAAAATGAGCCAGGCATGGTGGCGCATGCCTGTAGTCCCAGCTACTCGGGAGGCTGAGGCAGGAGGATCGCTTGAGCCCAGGAGTTGGAGGTTGCTGTGAGCTAGGCTGACGCCACGGCACTTACTCTAGCCTGGGCGACAAAGCGAGATCCTGTCTCAAAAAAAAAACAAAACATTGTGTGACAATGCTAAAAAAAACGAGGGTAGTATTTTTTTTTTATTTCAGCATATTACAGGGGTACAAATGTTTAGGTTATATATATTGCCTTTGGCCCCCTGAATCAGAGGTTCAAGCACGTCCATCCCCCAGACGGTGCACACCTCTCCCATTAGGTGTGACTGCACCCATCTCTGTAATCTTAAGTGTCTGAGACACATACAGACTCCAGAGTCATAGTTCTGAATATTAAGTCTCACTGCTAGTCATAAATTCCTAAAAAGGGTAATTTAAATGTACCCATTAGTCTAGCATATTCTCCAGAAAACCGTTCTCAAAACGAATGGCACGAGATTACCTTAAGTTTTATTCTTTTACTCCTAAAAAGTCAAATATAAAGAACTAATTCTACTCATTGAGGATTCGATTTAAACAGATTTATTTATTTTCTACGTATTAATTAATTTCATGTTACATAAAACTTTTTCAATGCCAGAAGCAGGATGTGGCGTAAGAAAACATTCACACAGTTTCTGTTCTAATTATGAGATGTGACGATGCTTAGATTTTTAAGCAATTCGATGCCTTCTACAAATTACAGGTGCCAGTTTAGAGTTTAAAACACTTTAGGTTCTCTAAAATGTGTTCCTTCTTTCCTAGAATTTTGCAATCACCTAATTATCCGATTTTACGTTGAAAATAGATCTGAAATCAAGCATGCATATTAAACATTGGTAATTATACCAATAAATGTTTTATGGGCTCTCTTCAAATGTATAAAACTTGGCCAGGCGAGGTGGCTCACGCCTGTAATCCTAGCACTCTGGGAGGCCGAGGCGGGAGGATTGCTCTCGAGGTCAGGAGTTTGAAACCAGCCTGAGCAAGAGCAAGGTCCTGTCTCTACTAAAAATAGAAAGAAATTAATTGGCCAACTAATATATATAGAAAAAATGAGCCGGGCATGGTGGCGCATGCCTGTAGTCCCAGCTACTCGGGAGGCTGAGGCAGCAGGATCACTTGAGCCCAGGAGATTGAGGTTGCTGTGAGCTAGGCTGACGCCACGGCACTCACTCTAGCCTGGGCAACAAAGCGAGACTCTATCTCAAAAAAAAAAAAAAAAATGTGTAAAACTTTCCTCACCCAAATAAATACACAACAAGCTCCCTGACTGTCATTTCCAAAATCGAAAAGCAAATTGGTGTTTTAATGTCAGATATGCTGACAATTTTTAGGAAAACATATCTTCTTTTTCCTGTTTGCTTAGATGCAAAAGTAGCCTAATAGTTTGTTCTTGGTTATTTATAAAGAAGGGGGAAAAAAGTATTATATGTATGTCACAAAGTATTTTTCACTTGTGAGAATTCTGTTAAATTTCCACGTAAGTCTTGTCACACGCCAAAAATGACATACACAAAGTCATGCATTTTGACACACCTATATTTAATCCTGACAGCCAAGAGTTTCTGATCAGTAAATACATTTTTTAATCTAAAAAACATACTCAATGTGGCTATCTTTTCTTTTTTTCCCCCACAGCTCATTCAGCATCAGAACAATGTGGATCTCTTATTTTCAAACTAAATTGATTTTTTTTTTTCCTCGACGATCCCAAATTTTTAGGGCAACTTTCCACGGAAAAATACTCCACAAAATACTGCAAAATACTTGTACCTGGAGAGGCTGCTTGATAAATGATCTTATCGCCTTCCCGCTCTGGCACGGCAGTGTGGCAGACAGCCATCATCGTGAGAAATTCACATATTATGGGTGCAGTGGGCTGCAAGAAATAAACGCATAACTCAGCCCTTTTCACTTACACACCAAGAGTATAGTAAGACTTGCCATCTATGAAGAATGTAGTTGTTAAACGCTGGGCGTGCGGGAATATAGCCAACTAAGAAGCCAACATCTATCAGCACGAAAAAAATATATATTTTTAACTCAAGTTATTCATCCTTACATTTTCTCATTCATGTCATCAAACAGAAACTGTGCAGTGAAATAAAGCAGACAGGGCTGAATCCCGTCCTTGGGAAAACGCTGTCCATTTTACCCGGTTGCAATTCCCGATCCGATTTAAATGTTAGGTGTGTAATCTTACTCCCCTACTTTTGCTTGGAGTGAAGATGACAGGGGGTTTCTTGTGAATGTTTCTGCCTCTCTCTCCAAATATGGAACTCAGCCTGGTCCGTGTTTTACTGAATAAAAATATATACCGAGCCATCGATTCCAAGGACCTTTCGTGTCTGAGGAACAGTAACGGTTGAAACCCTTTCTGCAAGGAGCTTAGAGTTTAAAGGAGAAAAGTGCTGTATTTCCCCGAAAATAAGACAGGGTCTTCTATTTATTTCTCCTATAGAAGACACCTACGCCATCTCAGGATATGCTTTAACTTAGTGTTATATCTGTGTTACGTTTTTAACATGGTACTCCACTTTTCAGTTAGGTCGTCTCTTTCTGAACATCACTCACTCTCAAACCCCGAATCCATCCTGAAAATGTTCTGCGACTTCTGTTCCTTTAGAACACTGGCCCGATTCTCCTGTGGACACTAGAGCCTCTCACGGGGGCGGATGAGAAGGGTGCTCGTCGTTTCTTTCCCGCTCCTCGATGACACGATGGTTGTGCCAAGATGCGGTTTTTGCCACTAGGACTGGCCTGTCTGGCTCTCAGCAGCCGACTTGTTCCCCGGCCACATGCGCATGTGCTGGAATGTGCACCAATCTCCCAACAGTCTTGCGACAGTGGAATGGACCCTGGTTTTAAAGTTTTGCAGGAATCCTGCGGGGTGTCTTTGAGAAAAATAAATTAGACCTGTCTTATTTTCAGAAACAGGAGGGCATCAAGCAGCTTGAGTTCCAGAAAGAATGATAACACAGCTGATGGTGCGATTTACTGAAACTGAGAACCCAGAGGGAAGAGGTGGTCTCGATCTAGGTTTCGTTGATCCTGAAGCTAATATGTTGTTGACGGCTCTCTTAAAAAAAAACAAAAAAACAAGGGTACAAAAATACCCGTATGAACCTCACTCAGGGGCAGAGGTGGGAAGTCTACCTGTGCTTGAGTGGCTACAGGTTTTGGGGTAACAAGTATGACTTTGAGTTTTGACGTACTGAGCTTAAAGCAACTGCGAGAAAAAGTTATGGGGCGGAAACTCCCGGAGACACTATAATTTGATCTTATGGAATCTGATAAGTGTTAGTAACTTCACAGGCCGGAGGAGGTTCACACTGGGTAGCAGATACTTGGAGTGTAGACGTAGATTTGGTACCGACCTACGACACTGAGCAGGTTAATTCACTCCTACAGATATTCTGAAATCGTTAATATAGTGAGCTGTTTCGTAGAAAATTCTGTGGTTGTTTCCCAGAGAATTCTATCATCATCTTTGAAAAGACAGAGTATTGATCAACGACCATGTTAAAACCAAATTTCTAGCAACCATGAGTTCACGAAGGCCAAGCAAAAAGGATCCAGCCAGAATAGGTTTTGAAATTAAGAATCGTTAAAAAACGACCGTGTACGTAAAAAGAGAGAAATGCGTAGACATGGAAGATAATGCGGAGAAACATCCGTTAGGTGTCATCCGTTAATGAAAAGGTAATGGTTTTACGTCGCTTACGTGATTATTTTGGAGATTTTCTAGCAATGATGAATCGCTAAATGCCTTTTCATCTCCGAACTGTGAGCTCTGCCTAAAGGGGGAAAAAAAAAAAAAAACCAGAGTAAACCCAGATCATTTTTACAAGCCTGCTATGTGTAACTTACTTTTAAGTAAATCATTATGTCTCCAAACCCTTAATAAATTAAATATAACCTGGCCTGCATTTCTAAGTATGGTACCACAGACTTTGTGATTGTATCCTAAAACATACTCTAAATGTATTTTAAAACGTGACATCACATTGTAACGAAAAATAATATTTTATAGTTCATTTTTCTGGAGTCAAATTACCATTGTACCAGCATGAAGTTTTAAAAAACGAATTTCAAAAAGTATAAGGAACAAAAACAACTGAAATTGAATTTCTTCTACTTCCATAATATCGTCATTATTTTAGAATTCTAAGAATAAAGTTATCATAAAAGCAATATTGACTAATTCTTTTACTTTAGCCATACGAGAAATCTTTATAGTGATGATCATTACAATATGAAATGCAAAAATGAGTAATAAACCATTTACATTTTGCACCCATGTCTAGCACTAATATCTGAGCAAACATTTCTGAACATATAATATTTGCTCTTTATATATAGGAACGAATCATAAAAGCGTATGGAATTTTCTGTGTTGTGGCTATCCTCAGATTGGCATGTGTGTTAGGTACTTCACAGGACACAAATAGAGTCCAATCATCTCTGTAAACTATCATTAATCTCATGGCCATACAGTTTAATATACAAATATTGAGATTCAAAAGAAAAACAGGTGACATTTAAGTGGGAATGTAAAATAGAAGAGTACAGTTCACAACATTTAGTGAAAAAAATACATTAATATATATATATACATACATCTGAGCTTTTATGCACAGAAGAAAATGTCAGTATCCACTGAGAAAAAAATGTGTCCAATATTAAATCATTATAACCCAGAAAGATTTTCATCACAATTTTCACAGGTTACAAAGAGTATTACCAATTCCACTGTGTCAACTACCGAGACTTTCATATTTAAAAGCCAGAAGCTTGAAAAGAAGAAAAATCATTGAAGAAAATAAAATGTGAAGAAATAGAACAGCCATAGAATCTTTAGTAAAATGCATTTTCTCCAATAAACCAAAGGAGGAAGTTAGAATGTTTATAATGAAATACACCTTTATTAGCAGGCAGCAGTTTAGAATTCTCAAAATATCCCCGGGAGGCAGAATGAACAGATTACCGTCGTTATTTTTGCTCTAGTTTTAAGGATGGAGGGGGAAAAAAAAATCCAAGAACTCTATAAATGATTTATCAATGGGTTCACAGAAAAAAGTTAACACACATTCCTTCTCCAAACGTTACCATTTACTAAAATAATTCATTATTTGGGGCTTTATGAAATTTCTCTATTATTAAAATGTATTCATCGATGGCTTGTAGTCATACCTTCCTACCTATTTGCCAGATAAACTGAAATGCCAAGGAATATTCGCAGTAACATCTCGCATGTAGAAGTCTATTTCCTTTCCAAAGAACTCCAGACTAAAAGCCTTTACAAATCTGAAGATGTGTCTCGCTAATCTCACCAGTAATTCTTTCATTTCATAAATCACAGTTACCGTGACTAATAACAACTTTCAAATGTATTTATAACCCAGTAACTCTAGACGAGCAACTGAAATATTTATAGAGACACATCCCATTCTCCATTCCCTGATGAGGGCTTCTGCCACGGACACTACTCCAGGAAGAACTCTTCTCCCAGAAAGAGGCTTCCTTCCCAAGATCACAAACCAACAAAGGCACGCTCTCATCGGACAGCCGGGGTTGAGGTCTCGCTCCGAGACTTGGGTGGGTATTTGCAAGTCCACGGAGGCACAGAGAGTCCCTGCAGGGAATACCGCAAGTGCCCCTGCGACACGGAGTCACTCGGGCTCTGACCGGAAGTGGGTTGAGCCCTGGTGCTCTTCCTCCTCTTGGAAAAAGCGGATCTCAACGGGGACCCTGTAGACTCAGCTCCTGCTCCGACTTCATGTCTCTCCGCCTTTGGAGAGACACTCACAGGGCTGTCAGCCTGGGCTTTCTTTGTGCCCTCCAATTACTTCCTGGCATTCTTTTTTTTTTTTTTTTAATTTTTTTCAGTATATTATGGGGGTACAAATGTTGAGGTCACATATCTTGCCCTTGTCCTTCCCTCCCCCCTCGAGTCAGAGCTTCAAGCGTGTCCATCCCCCAGATGGTGCACATCTCACTCATTATGTGTGTATATACCCACTACCCTCCCCCACCTGCCCGACACCCGATAAATGTTACTCCTATGTGTCCACTTAGGTGTTGATCAGTTAATACCAATTTGCTGGTGAGTACATGTGGTGCTTGTTTTTCCATTCTTGAGACACTTCACTCAGTAGAATGGGCTCCAGCTCTATCCAGGAAAATACAAGAGGTGCTAGATCACCATTGTTTCTTATAGCTGAATAGTACTCCATGGTATACATATACCACATTTTATTAATCCACTCATGTATTGATGGGCACCTGGGTTGTTTTCACATCTCTGTGATTGTGAATTGTGCTTCTATAAACATTCGAGTGCAGGTGTCTTTTTCAAAGAGTGACTTTTGATCTTTTGGGTAGATGCCCAGCAATGGGATTGCTGGATCAAATGGTAGCTCCACTTGTATCGCTTTGAGGTATCTCCATATTGCTTTCCACAGAGGTTGAACTAGTTTGCAGTCCCACCAGCAGTGTAGGAGTGTTCCTCTCTCTCCGCATCCACGCCAGCATTTATTGTCTGGGGACTTTTTGATAAAGGCCATTCTCACTGGAGATAAGTGATATCTCCTTGTGGTTTTGATTTGCATTTCCCTGATGATTAGAGATGCTGAGCATTTTTTCACATGTTTGTTGGCCATTATTCTTCTTTTTGAAAAATTTCTGTTCATGTGCTTTTCCCACTTTTTGATAGGGTGGGTTGATTTTTTTTCTTGCTGATTGTTCTGAGTTCGAAAGACGCCGAAAGCAGTGACACACACCGAGGAGGGCCCTCCACCTGTCTTGAAGCCCCTTCTGTTTTGGAGGCCAGGTGAGCTCAGGCCGTCGACAACACGCTCCGCAAGAGGCTCATTGAGGGACTTGGAAGAAAAAAAGCTGCCAGGTGGAGGCAGGTAGAGGCCAGTCTCCAGGTCGTGGTGGTGCTGAGGCTTCTCTATGTGGGCATTGTTGTTTTTTGAAAAGGTCCACCCCTCCTGTTTTTTTTTTTAAATTTTTTCCCAAGGGCACCACTGGTTCCAAGTCAACATTCCTTGCAGAGAGATTTAACTTTTAGATAAATGAACCTGTCATTATTCAGAGTCAAGTCCAAGAATTATGAACGAGTGATGGAAGTCAATCACAGTATTTTCATTAGACACTGGTTTCCACCAAAGGAAGAAAGCCTGGTTTTCTGCGTGACTCAAAGTATTTCTGGGGCCCATCGTAGAGTTCCAAAAACGTGGAGAGAAACAAAACGGTCGCATTGTGGGAGTCAACTGCCGGCGTGACTGCTTTGAAGACTAACGCTGATCTGGATGCATTAGATCTTGTTATTACTCAGTCACACCTGGAAAGATTTTTTTTTAGTGAGCCTATTTTTTTTTTTTTTTTTTTGGCAGCAGAGTAAATAAATGCCACTCACGTCGTACATAATTTCAGGCCAGAATGCAATGAGAAAATAAGTAAGATCGTAAAATAGAAAATACAGTGTAGTACTACCCACTGACATTGGTATTGTAATAATACTAAAAAGCACAGCGAAATGACTAAGCACAAGAACACTTTATGGTGACCCTTCTGAAGAATCACCCATACTAGTATTTACCTAAAAATTATTCTGAAAAGTTTTCCTAAAAAACTTTAAGAATAATGTGGAACTACATTAAATAGTTAAGGAAAACTGAAATAATGTTATCTGAGATCTGCTTTAATAGTGAGGAAAAAGGCATAGATGGACTGAAATTGGTCTTGAGTACCTACGATTGAAGCAAGTGGATTGGGTACACATCTGTCTGCTTTCGTTTATGATTAAAATTTTCCACAAAAAAGTTATAAAAAGAAAAAATGGTTATGGAAATATATAGTTTTGGAAAATAAGCAGATCTCAGGGCTATACAGATGCTGAGAATAACAGATTTTTTTTCCTCTAATCTCCCAAATAATGAATCTCCCAAATAATGATGATCAATTTAGAGAATGGTAGCTTTTTAATAAAAAGGAATCGCTCTATGAGGTTATAATGCTAGCTGACGGTTCTTGGCAATAACAAGAAAACTGTATCGATTCTGGAGCAAATAACTAGCGGCTGGGAAATGATTTTATCTCTGTAAACTATATTAATATATTTAACAGAGCAGGGCCTCAGCCATCATCTAACTACCTTTAATGTAAACAGAATCTGTTTCAAAGGGCTAATGCATTGAAGATTTGCCTTCAAACTCAACTACATATAAAGTCACCTACCTACCTTTAAGTGCTAAACATTATGTATTTTTTTTAACCTCACATTTGGGTGGTGAGTACTGGTTCAAGTAGGGCAGTAAAATATGCACAGCTCATGTGCACGTGAAATCGAATGGACTTCACATCACCAGGCGAAGCTGTATAATAGCAGAGTGGGACGCACTTTCGTATTTAGGACTTAGAGAGTCACCTACACTCTCTAACTCTTGCACACCAGCAGCACGAAGGTGTGGTCAGATGCCGGGAGAACAAGAATCCAACCAGGATCACACCTGTCACCTTGGGTTCACCGGCAACAAGAACCCAATTGGATGAGGCTGGGAAAACGGCCAGGTTTGTGAGTCCGCAAAGCCGTGTGCCTCCAACGAAAACTTTCCTCCAGTCAATTTAAATTTTTACCCGCTCCACCTGTTTTTCAAAACCACCACAAGAAATTTCGGGGAAACACATTCCAGGTTGAAAAACGGTTAAATGAAAACACCGAAAAGAAAAAAAAAAAGAAGAAAATGATGTTGGAAATTGCAAAGGATATATCTCGTGCTCTGAAAAGCAG